ACCTGGGGATAGTATTTTGCCAGTGTTTGGGTACCCCTAAGTGTTGTGTTTTGTATTAGGGTCCCACGTGGTTTCACTACCCTAAGCTGCATCCAGCTTCAGTGCTTATCCAGTAGTACTTTACCCTAGCTTGTTATTAGTGTAAACCTTGTATCCTGCCTGTGTGGACCAAGGCTTTTAACGTAAGATAGTGTGGTAAAGTTATTATTATTATTGTTATTGGTGTGAGTGTATGGGGGGTTGTTAAGGGGTTAATAAATAAGTACATGAATTACAGAGTATCTCTTCTTCCAAGGTGGGAGCGCAGTGATCAACCCTTAGACTAACATTTATGGTCTTGTAGCAAGTTATTACTACTGTGGATAGTTTATTTTGGGGGCCGGGCCTTTTAGCTCTCCCATATTTGATACTCGTGTCTTCTAACTACCTTTACCCCTTAATATTACCAGAACCCCATAGAAGCCCCTCTCATATCAGTTATAACAGCGTCTTGTACATACCAGTTGCGTTGCTTCTGGGAGTATGGGTTCGAGTCACTTCTGGGGTGTGAGTTTTCAGTTGCATATTGTCCTGGGGACCATTCAGGCTTGTTCGCATTTGTGTTCCTCACGTGTGCCCCAAAGAATGAGGTGATTTGGTAAAATGCTATGCCCAAGATTACTATCCGAGTGCCGGCGGTGGGGTGGTTCAAATAGCCTCGGCTATCACCTCATTATGTCCGGTCGTGATGGTCAAGTGGATTAAGGCGTCTTGTACATACCAGTTGCGTTGCTTCTGGGAGTATGGGTTCGAGTCACTTCTGGGGTGTGAGTTTTCAGTTGCATATTGTCCTGGGGACCATTCAGGCTTGTTCGCATTTGTGTTCCTCACGTGTGCCCCAAAGAATGAGGTGATTTGGTAAAATGCTATGCCCAAGATTACTATCCGAGTGCCGGCGGTGGGGTGGTTCAAATAGCCTCGGCTATCACCTCATTATGTCCGGTCGTGATGGTCAAGTGGATTAAGGCGTCTTGTACATACCAGTTGCGTTGCTTCTGGGAGTATGGGTTCGAGTCACTTCTGGGGTGTGAGTTTTCAGTTGCATATTGTCCTGGGGACCATTCAGGCTTGTTCGCATTTGTGTTCCTCACGTGTGCCCCAAAGAATGAGGTGATTTGGTAAAATGCTATGCCCAAGATTACTATCCGAGTGCCGGCGGTGGGGTGGTTCAAATAGCCTCGGCTATCACCTCATTATGTCCGGTCGTGATGGTCAAGTGGATTAAGGCGTCTTGTACATACCAGTTGCGTTGCTTCTGGGAGTATGGGTTCGAGTCACTTCTGGGGTGTGAGTTTTCAGTTATATATATATATATATATATATATATATATATATATATATATATATATATATATATATATATATATATATATATATGTACAACTTGCCTAAACACACAAGTGTACAACTGGCATAACAGGTACGCCTTTAACCCACTACACCAAACTCAGACCCTTAAAAGAGATGGTAATTTTGGGGTATTTAAACCCCCAAAGATCACCACCTCCCAAGGGCAACTAGAGCTAGTGAGGGGTTACTCACATTCTTTCATCAAGTCCCTGTTAATATGGGAGAACTCTGTGACTATGCTTAATGCACAAGTTGCTGAAACACGCAAGTGAAATTTTACAACTTTAGAACACTTTCCCACCAGGAGACTCGAACCCTAGGCAGCACAGAAGCCTCACAGCAACTGGCATAACAGGTACGCCTTTAACCCACTGCACCAAACTCTGTTATGCCAGTTGCTGTGAGGCTTCTGTGCTGGCTAGGCTAGGGTTTGAGTCTATTTGATTATATTTTGGTAGCAGTCTTTCTTGTAAACATATGTTGTTGAATATGACCGAAAAAGTAAGATTAATAATTCTAACACGAATTTTTTCAATATTTCTTATGTTTTTCTTCACTGTCGGTGGTAATGAAAATAACAATTCTCCAAAATTCATTTTTTATTAATGGCCTGACGCCTGAACGCTTTTCGTAATTCGTAGTACATTTTCAAAGACTTAATTTACACACAAATTCATCGTACTTATATTCTATTGGGTGAGGTGATATGGTACAAAAGTTTTGGGTGAGGTGACAGAACACAAAACAATGGGTATAACTTGGGTATGTGAACATAAGAATGGAAGTAATTGCAGAAGGCCTATTGGCCCATACTTCCTCTTGCTGCTTCCATATTGGTTCGGGGTCTTGAAGTGGGTAGAATATAGTTGTGCATTAATTGGCTGTTGATTGCTGGTGTTGACTTTTTGATGTGTAGTGCCTCGCTGATGTCAAGCTGCCTGCTATCGCTGTACCTATCGATGATTTCTGTGTTGTTTGTAGAGATTTCTCTGGTGATGGTCTGGTTGTGAGAAGAGATTATATGTTCCTTGATGGTGCTCTGTTGCTTATGCATTGTTAGTCGCCTGGAAAGAGACGTTGTTGTCTTGCCTATATACTGAGTTCTTTGGGGCTTACAGTCCCCAATTGGGCATTTAAAGGCATAGATGATGTTGGTCTCATTCAAAGCGTTCTGCTTGGTGTCTGGGGAGTTTTTCATGAGTTGATTGGCCGTTTTTTTGGTTTTATAATAAATTATCAATTGCGTTTTCTGATTTTTGTCTGTAGGGATGACGTTCCTGTCAACAATATCTTTCAGGACCCTTTACTCCGTTTTATGAGCCCTCAAAAAGAAATTCCTGTAAAATAGTCTAATTCGGGGTACAAGTGTTGTGTTGGGTGACTCTTCAGAGGCTGCATGGCGTTTTACCCTTCTTTTTATGATGTCTTCAACGAAACCGTTAGAGAAGCCGTTGTTGACTAGGACCTGCCTTACCCTACAGAGTTCTTCATCGACTTCTTTCCACCCTGAGCAGTGACTGAGAGCACGGTCGATGTAAGCGTTGACAACACTCCTCTTGTATCTGTCTAGGCAGTCACTATTGGCATTGAGGTACATTCCTATGTTTGTTTCCTTGGTGTAGACTGCAGTATGGAACCCTCCGCTCCTTTCCGTGACTGTTATATCCAGAAAGGGCAGCTTCCCATTATTATCCATCTCGTACATGAAACTCAACACAGAATTCCACTCAAATGCCTCCTTCAGCTCCTGCAGATATCTGGCATCAGCTACCTGTGTAAAAATGTCATCAACATACCTGCAGTATATGGCGGCTCTCAAGTCCATGTCAACTAAGACCCTCTGCTTGATGGTGCCCACGTAGAAGTTCGCAAACAGGACACCTAGGGGAGAACCCATGGCGACCCCATCTACTTGCTTATACATGTGCCAATCAGGGCTCATGAAGGGTGCCTCTTTAGTGCAGGCTTGGAGTAGTTTCCTCAGTATGCTTTCTGGCATGTCAAGAGGAGTGCAAGCCGGGTCACGATACACTCTGTCTTTTCTGGGCACATAGTCTCCAGGGAAGAAGGGCACATACCTGCTTACCTGCTTGATGGGGTTCCTGGAGTTCTTTTACTCCCTAAGCCCGGCCCGAGGCCAGGCTTGACTTGTGAGAGTTTGGTCCACCAGGCTGTTGCTTGGAGCGGCCCGCAGGCCCACATACCCACCACAGCCCAGTTGGTCCGGCACTCCTTGAAGAAAACAATCTAGTTTTCTCTTGAAGATGTCCACGATTGTTCCGGCAATATTTCTGATGCTCGCTGGTAGGACATTGAACAACCTCGGACCTCTGATGTTTATACAGTGTCCTCTGATTGTGCCTATGGCACCTCTGCTCTTCACTGGTTCTATTCTGCATTTTCTTCCATATCGTTCACTCCAGTACGTTGTTATTTTACTGTGCAGATTTGGGACCTGTCCCTCCAGTATTTTCCATGTGTATATTATTTGGTATCTCTCTCGTCTCCTTTCTAGTGAGTACATTTGGAGAGCTTTGAGACGATCCCAATAATTTAGGTGCTTTATCTCGTCTATGCGTGCTGTATATGTTCTCTGTATTCCCTCTATTTCAGCAATCTCTCCTGCTCTGAAGGGGGAAGTGAGTACTGAGCAGTACTCGAGACGGGACAACACAAGTGATTTGAAGAGTACAACCATTGTGATGGGATCTCTGTGTAGTGCCACAGGGCACATAATCTCCAGAGAAGAAGGGCACTTAGTTTCTTGGGAAGAAGGGCACATAGTCTCTTTGGAAGAAAAACACATTGTCTCCATAGAAGAAGGGCACATAGTCTCCTGGGAAAAAGGGCACATAGTCTCCAGGGAAGAAAGATTAAAATGTTGGGAAGGTATTGGTGTATAGGAGACTTTAACGGTGTTCGCTATTGTTCATAATTCTGTTTTGGATGTTTCAGCTGGCGGAGAGCTTGGACCGGGCAGACCTGCAGCTGGTGGCGGAGCTGTGGTTCACTGAGCACACCTTCGGCCCGGATCATCATAATGCTATACAGTGTGTCTCCACCAGGACCCTCAACCTACACTTCTCTCCCACCAGGTACGCCTTTGGTCTTCTCCCCCACTCCTCCCCAACACTCCCAACCTATATGAGACTAACTCTGGAGTATGCAGCCCTAGTACAGAACCCTCCTCCCACCTGAATATATATATATATATATATATATATATATATATATATATATATATATATATATATATATATATATTATATTTATATATATATATATATATATATATATTTATTTATATTATTATATATATATTTATATAATATATATATATATATTATTTATTATATTATATATATATATATATATATATATATATATATATATATATATATATATATATATATATATATATATATATATATATATATATATATATATATATTTATATATATATAAATATTAGTATATTTTGGTAGCAGTCTTTCTTATAAACATATGTTGTTGAATATGACCGAATAGGTAAGATTAATAATTCTAACACAAATTTTTTCAATATTTCTTATGTTTTTCTTCACTGTCGGTGGTAATAAAAATATCAATGCTCTAAAATTAATTTTATAATTGTCTGATGCCTGAACGCGTTTTGTAATGCTTATTACATTTTCAAAGACTTAATTTACACACAGATTCATCGAACTTATACTCATTTTGGGTGAGGTGATATGGTACAAAAGTTTTGGGTGAGGTGAACAAACTTATGACAAACACAAGACAGAACACGAAACAATGGGTATAAATAGAATATGAGAACTGCAGAAGGCCTATTGGCCCATACTTCCTCTTGTTGCTTCCATATTGGTTTGGGGCCTTGAAGTGGGTAGAATATAGTTGTGCATTAATTGGCTGTTGATTGCTGGTGTTGACTTTTTGATGTGTAGTGCCTCACTGATGTCGAGCCGCCTGCTATCACTGTACCTATTGATGATTTCTGTGTTGCCTTGTTAAGATTTCTCTGGTGATTATCTGGTTGTGAGAAGAGATTATATGTTCCTTGATGGAGCCTTGTTGCTTATGCATTGTTAATCGCCTGGAAAGAGACGTTGTCTTGCTAATATACTGAGTTCTTTGGGGCTTACAGTCCCCAAGTGGGCATTTAAAGGCATAGACGACGTTGGTCTCCTTTAAGGCGTTCTGCTTGGTATCTGGAGAGTTTTTCATGAGTAGATTGGCTGTTTTTTTGGTTTTAAAATAAATTGTCAATTGTATTTTCTGATTTTTGTCTGTAGGGATAACGTTCCTATCAACAATATCTTTCAGGACCCTTTCCTCAGTTTTATGAGCCGTCGAAAAGAAGTTCCTGTAAAATAGTCTAATAGGGGGTACAAGTGTTGTGTTGGTTGACTCTTCAGAGGTTGCATCGCGTTTCACCTTTCTGTTTATGATGTCTTCAACGAAACCGTTAGAGAAGCCATTGTTGACTAGGACCTGCCTTACCCTACAGAGTTCTTCATCGACTTGCTTCCAATCTGAGCTGTGGTTGAGAGCACGGTCGACGTAAGCATTGACAACATTCGTTTTGTACCTGTCTGGGCAGTCACTCTTGGCATTGAAGCACATTCCTATGTTGGTTTCCTTAGTGTAGACTGCAGTGTGGAAGCCTCCGCTCTTTTCCGTGACTTTTACATCCAGAAAGGGCAGTTTCCCATTATTCTCCATCTTGTAAGTGAAGCTCAACACAGAATTCCGCTCAAATGCCTCCTTCAGCTGCTGCAGATATCTGGCATCAGGTTCCTGAGTAAAAATGTCGTCAACATACCTGCAGTATATGGCGGGTTTCAAGCCCATGGAAAACGTTAGTGATCCCTCACTGTCTCGTTGCCTGGAGAGAGGGGATATCTGGGAGTTAAATACCCCAGAATTCCCACCTCTTTTGGGCTCTGAGTATGGTGTAGTGGATACAAGTGTGTAGTGGATACATCTTCAGAAGGAACGATTCCTTCTGAAGATGTATTAATATACGAAAGAACTTAAGGAAATTCCTGTTTCAATTCTTCCTCCATGGTCTGACACTGTCACATTTTTCATCACGTGTTAATTTTCATGATTTACATGCAGTATAATATATATATATATATATATATATATATATATATATATATATATATATATATATATATATATATATATATATATATATATATATATATATATATATATATATATATATCGAGTGGTTGTGTAGGAGCCTGTACTTTGTCATGCTAGTTTACCCGCTTGATAGGGTTTGGCTTCGGAGGCTGTTCTGGTGTCTTTAGGGCTGCCCTTTTGCATCTCTCGCAACCACTGGGTTTGCACCCCATTGTGTGTATGTCGGTTGCTGAGTCACTCCAAAGGATACCTGATCAACCAGGCTGTGACTCATATGTCAGGCTGCGAGCAGCCACGTCCAACAGCCTGGTTGACCAGTCCAGCAATGAGAAGGCCTGGTCGATGACCAGGCTGCGAGGTCGCTAAGCCTTGAAATCACCTCAAGGTAAGGTAAATTAACCGGCTACCGGCTTCGTCTTCAGGATTTCAGGGTTCAATGCCATGGTGCCTTTCACATCCCACGCTCAGTAGATCACGGATGCCTTGGCTCTTGGCTGGGCTTTGTGGTCAGCACTCACCCAGGCCGACCATGGTCATTGGGCTCTGTCTTTTCCATTGGGCTCACTGCATGGTGCGGGTGTTTGTGGCTATGGGGCTGGCATTGTAGTGGATTCGGCTTCCTCGGGGCTTTCTGATCCGGCTCCACTCAAATTGCACCCCTATGGTTCTTTGTTCCACTGTGGGGGGTGGGGGGTGTTTAACAGTCTCGGTCCTCTCTGATGTTAATAGAGTTCTCTCTCAGAGTACCTATTGCACCTCTGTTTTTTAACGGGAGTAATCTGCACATCCTGCCATGCTTTCTGGTCTCATGTGATGTTATTTTTGTGTGCAGATTTGGGACCGGCCCCTCTAATATTTTCATGTATTAAATTATTATGCATCTCTCCCACCTGTGCTCCAAAGAATGCAGATTTGGGCATTTTAGATGGTCCCAACAATTTAGATGGTTTATTGAGTAAATTCTAGCAGTAAAGGATATCTGTAAGCTCTCCAGGTCAGCTATTTCACCACCTTTGAAAGGGGCTGTTATTGTGCAACAATTTTCCACTCTTAAAGAGTTCAAGTGTCTTGAAAAGTATCATTGGTATAGCATCTATTGTTTAAAAGGTTCTTGTTATCCAATCTGTCATTTTTCTTGCAGTTGTAATGGCTACTTTATTGTGTTCCCTTTTTATATTTTCATTTTTTCCCAAAGAGCAGGAGCAGGAACTTATCTTCAATAAATACCATATTATTTTCTGTGACCGACTGAAAGACCTGATTTACATCAGTTTGGAGGTTTTCTGTGTCCTCTATGTTGTCTACTCTCATAAAAATCCTAGTGTCATCTGCAAAGAATGATACAGTACTATAGATTGTGTCCTTGTCTATGTCCAATATGAGAAGGAGAAAAAGTACTGGAGCAAGCACAGTACACTGTGCTTGCTGTGGTGTACAGTGCTTACCCTGTATTTACACAGTAAATAACCTAACCTAAAGTTCAGGGGTTTGGTTCTTTATTTTCAGTCACATGTTTGTGTGCACATTTTTCTGTTCACATGTATGTGTGTGTGCATGTATACTGTACTCATACATAAATGCATGCACATGTATCTTTTCATCAGTGTGTGAGAGCACAAGCAGTTGGCAAAATAAAGCCAGTTCCAGAGACCAATAATAGTAACATTGATGTTTGCAGGGGTCTTCACTACCACCTGCCAGTGCTCTTCGACTACTTCCACCTGTCAGCGGTCACCCTCACCGTCCACTGCTGCCTCGTAGCCCTACACCAGCCCTATATCAAGTAAGTTCACTTAACTTTCTCTTCATTGTGGCTCCAGCTGCCTCTTGCATAGATGCCTCCATGCTACGGTAACCTGTGAATATGTAGCAGATGAGCAGTGTCAACAAACCTAGTAATTATGGCTTTCTTAGTAAGCATTTCTACATCAATCATACATGTTAATTGTATTAAATCATTTAATATATTTTTTCATTGACGTCATAAATACGCCGGTAATTCTTCTCTAATTATTTGGAATCTGAGTTGTATTATTTTTTTTTACCTAAACTTATAGCTTTTCCCAGTCAGTAAAATAGTGTGACCTTGAGTAATACCGAAAGGTAGAGGCTGGTCCTCTCACAAACAAGTCCAGGGATCTGCCAGCACACTAGGTCATCATTCAACCATCCAGTGTCCCTCACTTGCCTCATGACGCACATACAGCTGCCTTGTGGTGCACATACAACCACCCAGTGTCCCCTCACTTGCCTCATGGTGCACATACAACCACCCAGTGTCCCCTCACTTGCCTTGTGGTGCACATACAACCACCCAGTGTCCCCTCACTTGCCTCATGGTGCACATACAACCACCCAGTGTCCCCTCACTTGCCTTGTGGTGCACATACAACCACCCAGTGTCCCCTCACTTGCCTCATGGTGCACATACAACCACCCAGTGTCCCCTCACTTGCCTCATGGTGCACATACAACCACCCAGTGTCCCCTCACTTGCCTTGTGGTGCACATACAACCACCCAGTGTCCCCTCACGTGCCTCATGGTGCACATACAACCACCCAGTGTCCCCTCACTTGCCTCGTGGCACACATACAACCACCCAATGTCCCCTCACTTGCCTCATGGTGCACATACAACCACCCAGTGTCCCCTCACTTGCCTCGTGGTGCACATACAACCACCTTTGTCCCCTCACTTGCCTCATGGTACACATACAACCACCCAGTGTCCCCTCACTTGCCTCGTGGTGCATATACAACCACCCAGTGTCCCCTCATTTGCCTCGTGGTGCACAACCAACCACCCAGTGTCCCCTCACTTGCCTCGTGGTGCACATACAACCACATAGATGTTAACCACTCGCACTCGGTAAAGCTCGTGTTCCTGGAAGCAGCTCATAAACATCCTTATTGGCCTATTATTATCGATAGTAATTAATGGATTCATTAAGTAAAACCACTATAATAAAATGATAGAACACCAGTTTACTCTGTGAAGGGCACACATAAAATAAACAAGTGCAGACAAGATTAATAATTAACTGATTATCAGCTTATGACCACTGACACATGTTAATATATATAGCTTATTAATAAATCACATGAATACCAGACTCATAGCAACACCTAGACACAAGCATATAGACAAACACTACTTTACTTCAGTGGCACATCCAGTCTCCTTAACAACTAGTCTGCAGATACCTAACATTCGCTCAGACTGACAACGTGAGCTCTCCGAGCACACTGTAGCCAACAACGCCACATAACAATACCCTAAAAGCCACACTTCCTCACTGTGATAACACTACCATACACTTATTAACATAAGTGTTAAATACATTAGACATACTTGAAATAACAACTCATATAAATATGCTTCTTATTCTGAAAATAATATCCACTCTGTGACATGCACAGCTGGTACCACTGACCGCTCACACAAACCGATCGTGTCAAGCACCTGTCGAGTACAAGTGACCATACTAGACACCGCTCCACTAACCAACTCTAATGCAGTATAATACAACAGTGGAATACAAGTGCAACTGCAATACAAGCAAATAAAAAAGGAATATCGTAATACAGTATAACATTATGAAATGAAGCCAGAATTAGGGACAATTTTAATACATAATTAATTAAAGGATGATGAAATGTATAAATTGGCATAATTTGAATAGTTAGGAACCAGGTAAATACCTGGGTCATAACATCCCTCCATCTCGAGAGAAAAAACTTAATTACTGTAATTGAAGATTAATTACATTTTTCTTTAAGTACAGAATTTAGTACTTGAAAACAAGGATGTCATATAATGAGTGTTGACAATGAACTTCATAAGTATGACAGTACAACCTGAAAAACACAAGAAATTTATTTATTTATTTATTTATATACAAGAAGGTACATTGGGGGTTAACCCTTTAACTGCACAATGCGCCTGCAGGCCCACATCTGGGGTGCGCTACGCACTTCCGGGTATTTGTATTCTTCACGTTCCATTCAAAACTCCAGCGGCTACATGGGGTTCACATCAGCTTCCTCAAGGCTCTTTTAAACAGATGCCATTTTTATATAAAATCATGGTCCACATTCCCGGGTGTGAGAGCCTCAGTAGTGAGTGAGCAACCAAGGCCAGCGCACGCAGCATGAGCTCACAGCACTGCTGTTCAGCTTGTGACCACAGCATCGCCTAATAATGTTAAAATATATATATAACTTGTATTATTTAGCCAATATAGTATTACAGAAGAGCCTGAGTGTGATAATAACTGTGTACAATGTTCAAATATTGGTGTTTCAATGCTGTTCACGATGTTCACAGTGCTAGCCACAGCACCACAGCATTATTTCGTCCATCTAAGAATCTTCAAGGTCAAGCGGTCAAGAAGACCACTTACAAAGAGCAAGAAAATGGCGAAAAGAACACCAGGAAACTTCATACTGTTGCCGAGACAAAGCTCTCAGGTGGGACACCATCAACGAAGCCACCTGATCACCATAGAAAGGGTGATACACCCGCGTCAAAAAGACCAGACGTGAAGAGCAGAGGAGAAGGTCGAACCAGCCCCGTAACGGACTGGTCGACCTGCTGAAAAAGGCGGAGCCGCGAGAAACACCACGGGTTTGGACACCAAACAAACAGAACCGAAAACCAAGGTTGGGCCGGCCACCAAGGGGCCACAAGGACTACTCTCGCTGGGAAGATCTCCAACCGAGCCAGAACCCAAAGCAACAGCTGGAACGGGGAAAAGAGGTACAGGTAACCCCACCTCGACCAGTCTTGCCGAAAGGCATCCACCGCGAATGCCTTGCAGTCTGGGAAGGGCATCACGTAGACTGGGAGACGCTGAGACCACGCCGACGTGAAGAGGTACATGTCAGGGAGTCCATTCGTCTGGCAGATCCAACGAAACGAGTTGTCATTGACCATCCATTCCATGGACAGGGGAATGAAGCGAGACAGGCCATCTACCAGGATATTGGACACTCCCCGGATATGAACTGCACAGAGAGCCAAACCCCGAGAATCCAGCAGACGAACCACTCAAAGGGACCAGTCCTGAAGTGGCAAGGACCGAATAGAACCCCCGTGGTTCGGGCAATGAACCACCTGAGAACAGTCTGAATGGAGCCAGATGGTTCGTACCCCGAGCGACCCGAACCCTCTGAAGTGCAAACCAGACTGCCGTGAATTCCCGAACCATGCTGTGAGCCCGACGGAAGGATGGACCCCACCGTCCCTGGGCCGGCCTGGTGAGCACTGGTCACAAACCCCCAGCCGAGAGACGACGCGTCCGTGAACACGTCGAGTGAAGGCTCGGGGAGGCGCCAAGGCACTGAACCCCGAAAACCCCGAAGAGGAAGCCGGCGAAGCAGCAACCGACACAAGGCCCCCGGAGGACGAACCCAACGATCGGGAGAGAGGTGGAAGGGGCGTCCCCAAAGGAACCAGAACAGACACTGAAGCCAAACCCGATCTGGTGGGTAGACCAGCACGGCGAAGTGCAGACTCCCACACAACTGCTCGAACAACCACCAAGTGACCCGGGACCCCCTCAGAAACAGCTGACGGCGGGACCACAGCCACAGCAACGCCTCTGGCGGGACCACAGCGACAGCAACGCCTCTGGCGGGAGAGACATGGAAATGGTCCGAGAATCCCAAACAAGACCCAGCCAGGTCCAAACCTGGGATGGAACTGGATGGGACTTCATCTAGTTCACCAGGAACCCGAACCTGACGAGTTGGGAAAGAACCATATCCCTGGCGAGTAGACAAGCAAACCGACTGAGAGCCCACACCAGCCAGTCGTCGAGGTAGGCCAAAACCCAAATCCCTAGCAGACACAGACTGGTCACCACAACCCTGGTAAGATGCGTGAAAACGCGAGGTGCCAGATTCAAGCCAAAAGGAAGGCAACGAATGCGGTAAGCCTGACGCCCCACCACGAAACCTGCTGGTGGGACCCAGAAGCCTCGGCAGGAGGAACCGGCTCAAATGCCTCTGTCTCTGACCCAAATGGGGCAGCCCCCGAAGCTGCCTGAGCCTCATTACCAACTAAACCCTATGTCGAATCCGAAACCCCTCAGACATTTGGGAGCCAGACACAGGGGTAGTGGTGCAAGATGAACCACAGGGGAAGGACCAGGGAGAGCGGAAGTATCCAAAGTCGAAGCGACTAACGCCTCCAGGTCCAGGTCCCTAAAACCAAAGCGGGGAATCCTCGGGGTATCCGGGTGGGAATCCAACCTAGCGCGTTGCAGTAACCTAAACCTGACATTCAACATGGATGCTGCCTGTACCCTAACAGCAACATCATCAGAATAAAACTGGAGCACAAGCAGAGAACACGACTCGCAAGACTCCAGGTCAAAGGTGTCATTGACGCAACAGGCAGCATGATGGAGGCAAAACAGGTGACTGTCACTGTAAGACAAGGGCACACAGCAACCATCAAACTTGCACAAGGCAAACTGGAACTCGGGAGACGCATCCATGGGGCCAACTAGCCCCGACAGGGGTTTCGAGGGCCTGTAGGGTAACAACTACGGGAAGCCCGCACAAGGTGTTGCTAACCGGTTAAAAACCCCAAACTAACGAGGGGTAGATGATAACACTGAAACTTCTGTGACGTGTACAAGTATGGGGGGCCTAGCAGAGGGCCACCAAAACAGTATCAGGGGAACTATAGTCCCACTAGGTAGAACCCCCACCAGGCAAACAAAAACAAAATAAAAGAAAAACCCCGCAAAAGTAAACATCCCCAGAAGCAACAG